CAGGTCGGGCTGCATGAAACCTAGAAAGCAGGAAGCTAACCATGAGGATGGTGCAAAAAACTACTAGAAATAGGATACCGACATCAGGGCCCCACGCTCTAGACAGGGTGACCCCCCTCCCTCTGAGCTCTAGACAGGGTGACCCCTCCCTGCAGCGGGGCTCTGCACTCTGGACAGGGTGACCCTCCTCCCTCTGAGCTCTAGACAGGGTGGCCCTCCTCCCTCTGAGCTCTAGACAGGGTGACCCCTCCCTCTGAGCCCTACACAGGGTGACCCCCTCCCTCTGAGCCCTACACAGGGTGACCCTCCTCCCTCTGAGCCCTAGACAGGGTGACGCCCGTGTTCCCAGTCCTCTGCCCTGGCCCGTGTCCAGCCCGTGCTCTTCCAACTGCGAGCCTCTCTACACTCCAGCTCGCTGGATTTCACACGCGGCAGCTGCAGTCCGCTCATCCGAGCCCCCACTGGAGACACCGTCCCCCCCAGAGCGGCCCCACGCACAGAAGCACGGCGTTCGCGCCCCTCCTGCCAACCGCAGCGGCGACCACGTCCCGTGTGGCAGCCGTGGTCCGAGAAAGCGCTTCACCACCAAGCCGGCTGCAGCCCCGCCTCACACCACGTCATCACCGTCCCCACCCACTCCACGGGAAACGTGTTGTTTCCCACCCCGCACCCAAGCAGCTGCCGGGAAACACACGGGCACCCATGCACTCCGCACGGAGTGTGTTTGCCCCCCCCGCGGGTTATAAAACCACCTCTCTCGGGTCACGACCCCGCTTACACAACAGCACACCCCCGCCGCTGCCGCGCATGCGCCGCCGGAGTTACACAACGCGGGGTCAGCGCGGGGTCACCCGTGGGGAGAGACGGGGTGCAGTTTCTGGGGCTCGGTCAGCAGGTCTCCCTCGCACCCCCCATCCCAGGGCCACGACACCGTCCCCCCCCCTTCTCGCCCCGAGAAGCGACACACTCCCCCCAACCCCAGATCCGCGAACAGGCCCCAGTAACAACAACACCACCACCACCACCACCAGCGCCAGTGTGAGCCGAGAGCAGCCCCTTGAGCTCACCTGCCTTGAGCCCGCCGCTGGACACGGCCAGGGCCTCCTCGTACCGCCGCCGCCCGCACAGCCCCTCAATCTCCGCGCACAGCCGGGCCCGGCACGGCCCACCCGGGACCCACTTCTCCAGGACGTGGCAGAGCGCCACGTTGGTGCGGGGCGCCCCGCCGTCGCCCCGCCGGGCCGCCAGCCTCTCGGCGCAGCGCGGGCACCGGGCCACCACCTCCCGCTGCAGGCACCGGCGGCAGTACGTGTGGCCGCAGGCGGCGGTCACCGGCTCGGAGAGGAGCCGGCCGCAGCCGGGACAGTCCAGGGGCTCGGCGGCGGGGCTGGCGCTGCGCTCCCCGGCCGCCTCCGCCTTCTTGAAGTTCCGCAGGACGCAGCCCACCAGCGCGCCCAGCTGCTCCGGCCGGCCGGAGCCGTACCTCAGCGCCAGGGCGAACGCGTCCAGGGCCTCCTTGAGCCGGTCCTGCGCCGCCAGCTCCTCGGCCCGGCGGAGGACCAGCCCCTGCCGGTGCGCCCGGTCCGCGGCCGCCGGGCCGGCGAGGAGGAGGAGAGAGGGTCCCGGCCGCCGCCTCCTGCTGCTGCCGCCGCCGCTGCTCTCTCCCAGCGCCTCGTCCGCCGCCGGGTTCAGGACTGACATGCTCAGAGCGGGGTGAGCGCCTTACGAGCGTCCGCAGGGCTGTGGCCCGGGAGGTTACCGGGACACGTACGCGGAGACAGCAGCACACCTCGGCGGATCGCGCTGGCCGGCCTCCCGGCGCCGGCCCGTTATATAAAAACGCCGTCACGTGGTCCGCGGGGCGGCGCTGTGATTGGCTGCCGGGGGGAGCCCTGGTTACAAAACCTCGCCGTGCGGGTTTCATAACAACCGGGGGGGAGGAGGAGGAAGAAGAAGAAGAAGAAGAAAGGGTGGGTGGGTGGGGGGGGAGTGCAGAGGTTCTGGGGTACCCTGTCCGGCTTGCTCGGCGTCCCTCACCCCCTCCCCCCCCCGACTCCGTCCACTGTGGCTCAGCTGTCACAGCACTGCCAGGAAGGCAGAGGAGGGGGGCTGGCAGCCTTCATGTTCAAGTTGGAAGAGCCTGGTGCTGCCAGTGTTGACAAAAACTGTTATATCACCAGCTGATAAGAGCTGCCCTGCACAATTACTGCTCACCCTGCCCTGTTCCACCCCCCTGTATTTTTCACAATGTCTGTAGAAACCTGTAGAGTAATGTGACTCCCAAGCCTGCCTTGTTTTCTGAGTTGTTTAATTTCAGATACATGGGGCGCTTGTTGGCAGGGCCCATGAAAGACAGCGTTGCCACAGCAGATGCGATTAACGCGCAGCGTCTACGGTACAGCCCACGTGACTGCGCGTTTACATGCCTCACGTGAAGCTTCATGGTGGAATTTGACATGGACCCGCCTTCGAAATGTTGTAAACCTCAGCTCTGAAGATATCGGCAAGCTTTCCGCACCAGCTGACCCCGAGGAAGGCCTGTGCCATCATTAAAGACTCGGCTCATATTCTTCTTCGGTCTTTTGAACTTTTGCCTTCGGGAAGACATTTTTGCTGCCCACTGTGCAGGACAAAATGGAAGGGAATAGAAGTCCTATCAGCACGATGTCTGTTGGACAGAACCTCCCCTACAAATGTGCGTGTACTGTACTAGTCCCTTCCCAAATACTACACACTGTTACTTCCAGTTACTTCTGTGGACGGTTTGCTGTTTTTATTGATCTGTTCTGGTTTTTGGTTTGTTTTTGTAGTGTATTAATGTATTGTAGGGCTCTCGGGCTCACGTGGGTATGCGCCCTCGCTGCCGCCACAGGTTGGCCCCCCCACCACCGCTGGGGACCAGAACCCGGGTCTCCAGCGTCACTCAGCAGGGACCCAGCCAGCTGAGATAAAGGGAGATCTCCCGTCAGCCCGGCGGCTGCGGTCCCTGCTATTCACAGGGAATGGCGGTGATGTCACCGTGCAGGCAAGCCGGGTCGCACAACCTGCCATGTCGGCCGTCTGCGTTACAGTACGGCGCACCGCTTGCTGCGTTAAAAGAGCCCCCCTGCCCCTTTTGAATAAATATTAATATAGATCTTTGTCCCAGATCAGCTGAGCAGACCAGATTGAAGCTCAGTATTTCAACCTTGCCAAGAGAGCATGCTCTTCTGTAGCCTTTAGGGAACTCAGATTTTCTGAGTGAAGAATCCCTTGGTTAAAATCGGCCTCTCCTCTTTAGTGCTTGCATTTTAGAACAGGGAGATAGGCTTCCATTTATTGTGGCCTGTTATCGTTAATTCTGGGTTTTCATAACAAGGTAAGATATAACTGTGGGAAATATTCTATTAAGTTTAGAAGGCAGCCTCTTATTTGTGGCCTTTGTAGGCATTACATTATAGACTTGTTAACAGTCTGGGATTCTCTGGGAGATCAGAATGTTAAGCCACTGGGATGCCTTCTTTGTAAATTTGCACATAGGGAAACTTGTGTGTAGTATGTCTATGTTGTGTGTTGCTTAGTGTCTGTATTCCCTGTGTGTCGCTCTTAATAAATATGTGTATAACCAAGTGTGCCTGAGTTATTAGTCTTTTCAACCAAAGCTATGCCAGAGAACAAAAAAATTAATTAAACTATTCCAACCTCTCTGGTGTATCCTTGCCAAAATGTTCACAAGTTGGGGATTCTGATTAATTAACTAATTGATTTATCCACTTGGTCACTTAATGATTTTCTCCATTTTCAACCACCCCTCCATTTGTAACAGTATTATACTTTAAAATAATAAAACAATAACATTAAAAATAATGATATGATTATTAGATCTGAAGTTTACTTTATTCGGTTTTAAATGTATTTTTCCAGTGGTGGCAGAGTCATGGGGACACCTAGTGGTAGATGCTTGTTCGTTCGGAGATGGTTTGCGGTTTTGATGGACTGAGGAAATCCTATCATTCAGAAAAACAAAAAAGAAAAGAGTTAATTATAACATTTTGTATGGTCTGTTATGTAATAATAGGAGTGCATGTCTTTATTTACTGGATTCAGTCGCATTCTTTGAAATACATTTTGCGGGATGAGAAAACATTCCAAATGAAATTGTTTCTGAAGAAGGAAATATAAAATGATTCATAAATGTAAGTCAGATGGAATTTGTCAGGGAGGCCTGAATGTGTTGTCACTAGTCACCGGGTACTAGTCAGCTTGTGCACCTGCTCATGTCTGGGTTGGTGTCTAGGTCTGCTTGTGACGGTTATTATTACTATTCTCATTTCTTAGTATTGGATCTTAATCGGTTGCACCTTCTGCAGACAATGAGCAGGTGAAAACATTGAGCATGAAGATATCTGTTTGTCTTTTTCACTGAAGTAAATGTTGATGTTTGGTCAAAGTGAAAGCGTCTTTCAGGAGGGGTTCTAGGTATTATTCATAGATTAAATATGCTAATGCTTATATGTAGTACTGTGATAAGTTATACTATTGATCACTTCTATACACACTGCTGTGCATAGTTCGAGACATTCTGAATTGTTCTGCTTTTTTCATTCAAAGTTCTTCCTTCGTTATGCAGAAGCACACTGAAATATTACCTATTTTGTTTAAGCTAACAGTTAATCTTAATAGTTCTGTGTTTTTGTAGTGCAAAAAAGCAACCCTTTAATTTAATTTTTTTCGTTCTGATTGATCAATGTGGTTCATTAGCTCCTAAAACACTTCGTAGTGCCTGTCCATTTCCAGAATCTAGGTCTACCTTGAGTTTTGACCCTGTGTTTGAAGATCTAATCAGTGTGAATTAAACACTGCTAAATTAAACATCTGGTTTAACATCAACCAAGCTAATGTGTATGAATAACAATCAAAGTTGTCATAATAGAAGTAAACCAGCTGAGGCTTTGAGAAAAGTAGCGATGCTCATGAGGCATTCTTTATATTGCAACTGCCGACTGTTCCTGAGACGTCTAAAACCTTTGTGCAGCAGTGTAAAAGGTGCATGCACATCACTTCTGTCAGCAGACCTTATTCATTACAAGCTGGTATTATGCAGTTAAAATATACAAAGAAAATACTAGAAGCAGGTTTGCCGTTGGAGGGCAGGGCGTGCTTTTTACATGCAGTTCTAGTAGGTGATATTCCTCTGTGTGACTCTAGAGGGAGCCCTTGAGCATGCAATTGCAGTAGTGTTCTGGGAATGAAAACATGGACAACAGCCCAAGGAGAACCAACCGCTATCGAGCTATTAATCACCATTTACATGCATTTCATTCTGTGATGTAAGTTTGTTTCTTAACCCTTTTCTGCACCTTCTTGGATGCAAATCTGCTTTTGCGATGCAAATGGCTATATGACACTGCTGAGTGTTTTGAGGGTGAGCGGAACTTTTCTCCCTCTTGATTTACTGGACTGTATTGTCTTTCCCATTTCCTTCTACTGCGACACGCTGCCTCAGCGCTGGGCTGTTTCTTCTTCCTTCCTGAGTTTCTTTTATTCAGCCTCATCTAAAAATATGGGGACCCGTTTGTGAAGGTCTGTTAGCAGTTTGAAATTGAAGACAAACATCCTGGCCATTCAGAAATAACACCTATTGTTCGACACCTGCCCTGTGTAAATAGGTCCACTGTTGACATCGACAGATGGTAATCCTAATCCATACACACAGGAAGTCAAAAACTGCTTTTCTGGATATATTGGCATCTCTGTCTTGTTTCAACACATAGTAAACACAATATAACAGCATGAATAAAATAAGCATTGTGTAAGTCCGACTGATCATTTTGGAAGTGTGCTCCTGGCGTGTTCCTGCTTACCATAAAAATAGACACAGGGTCTATACTGAGCTGCTGAATTCAGGTGAATCAAACTAAGAATTCATCTTTCAAATTACAATCAAAGGCTGCACTCTTGGCACTAAACTCATATGCACTACATTGAGGTACAGTAAGTGTTCTGTTACATTGAAATGCAGAATACCTCCAGACGTTTACTGTATTTATAATGTTGAATCAGCTCTGATATTTAAGTCAGAATACTTGAGTGATCTGGGAAATGCAGGAAACATATTTTCCAGCCGCCTCTGCAATATTTTGAAGGCCAGTTTGTCCTTCTTCACACCTCACACTCACCTGACCACTCACACACCTGGGACTCATCAGCTCTACTCAAACACGCCTTCCCTGAGCAAACCATTACACTCAGGAAACCGATGCCCTCCAAGAAACGAGATGACAACTGGAACTGCATTTCAAGCTCGCAGGTGACAGGCGACTCGGCAGGTTGTGTCTTGTAGGCATTGTCTGGACGTTTCCCCTCACATGATAATGATCTGATCCTTTTCAAAGGCCCCTTGCCTGAGTGTAGACTGACCAAGTGTCAAGTGTTAAGAGGCAATTGGCCTTCAGATTTCTTAAATGTCTCCATTCAGAACGGAGAGGCCTGTGTTCCTCCTTTACACTTCCTCCAGCTTGTTTCCCCGAAACTGAGCTCCGGGTTTAGGCTTCCTGAAACGAGGGGGTGATGAAAGACTGGAAGTGCATCTCGACAGGGTCGAGGGACTGGTGCTAAGCCTCTTGTGGATGTAACCCAGAACATACTGTAAAAAACACTCTCATTGCTCCCTTCCTCATTCCTACTTCGACCATTTCACTCATCAGGTCACAGGGAACTAATTGATCTGAGGATCTCATCCAGTTTTTTCTAGAAGCTACTGTAGGTCTTCAGCTTCAACGACATGGCTGTTGGAGACGCCAGCGTTCCCAGATTTAAATGCACTTCCATGTAGTTTCCATTTGCGTCTTCGGGTTTGTGTCTCCCTGCTGTCACAAGCGGTCCATAGTGTCTTCTTGTAATATCTGACATGGTGTGCATCACAAACCATCAATGAAACTACAACCAAATTCATTCTCCATTCATCCTCCAGATA